GGGGGGAGTGGGCGGGGGAAAGTACAGTTTGCATTTTCCTGGGTGCCTATATACACTAGAAACCTCACATAACTATCTTCACATAGTCTAAACTTAAAGGCTTTTGCAAGTAGCTTGGAATGAAGACTTAATTTGTCAGCTGCAAAATCTTTCATGTTAAATCCAACAGCTACACTAATGCATTAATAGCAGTAAGATGTAATTAATAGAAACACATCAAGTGTGCTGTATTTGCACAACACATACAATGCACAGGTGCTCCCCTTGCTTACCTACAATCAGCAACAGCTTACCTGAGCAGTCATTATTCCCTTGCTTTGTCAAGTCACTCCAGGTTTTAAATTTTTTTTCATACAAAAGCAGAGCTTTTAGGCATGCTTTGCACATGAATAGTACTAGACCCAGAGGAATCTATCATTTCAAGGAGTAATCTTTTCAAGCCAAATTCAGATTTGCTTCTGAGGCCAAGCATCAGAGAAGTCAGATTTTACTAGGCTTAGATGCACTGCAGCCAGCACTTCATGCCTAGTTTCTTGGCCTGAAGCAGAGTACCTGTTCCAAGAGCTTACTGGGCTTTTTAACCTCCACAAGGAAAGAGGAAATCTGATGTCAAGCTGCTACATAATGTTAGGCTTCAGAATGCCTGCTCAATAATACAGCTGAGACACAACCTTAATGTTTTATTTATGGTACTTGCATTATAAACCCCATGGAGAAGTAAAGAGAAATCCAATTACTTTTCCACAAGCATTCACATAAAATAGAAGCAGCATCTATCTTCACTACTAACAAATCAGAAATATTCCTTGGAACCAAATCAAGGGAAACCTTTAATTCTGAAAGGCAATACAGCATGTCCCATAACCAAACTATTTATGAAGCTTGTTAATTGTTCAATAAAAGTGTTGACAGTAACCCACATAAATGAATACTGTAACAATGACTCCACAGCATTCATACTCTTGCTTTTAGGAGTCTTCCAGTAAGACTAGAGAACTTGAACCCCAACAGTTGTTAGGACAAAGAATGTATTTTGGGAAGACCCTAAGAAAGAAAATAAACATCAAAAGAGATGGCAATTGAGGTGTATGTCTGTTGTCTAACCACGATCAAGATAAGCAGTAGGGAGAGAACAAAAATTATGCTGGTGCAAAAATAATAAGGAATAAGGTATCTGTACTTAAAACAGTCTGGAAGTCTTAGTTCTAAGCAACAATCACATCCAAGAACAGACTTCTAACGGTTCAATGAGAAGGTATGACAAAGTAGACTCAACTGTATAGCAGACCATGGAATCCCAATAAGTGTCCCTAAGCAACACAAACCTGTATTTTCTAGGAATAGGTTAAGTAGACCTAAATCTTCCTCTTCAGCCTGCTTCTCCCCCAAAAGAAATCCACAAATTGTAAATCCCTTGCAACTTGAGTATGAAGTAGGAAATAAATTATACAACAGGACTTTCAGTAACACTGAAAGCACACTCAGCAACTAGGCAATAACACCAGGTTTGATTTGTAACCTGCAGTGAATGTTCAGCTCAGACAGGATTATAATTATCATAGAAAGACCTAGATTTTATCTCATCATTTGCATACTGTTAAGAGGCACACTTGACTTCCACTATCACTTACAAATCAAAGATTGAAGAGGGTATACAAATGCTGAGCCTTGTTGAAAAAGCTCAAGAGAAAGACTGAAAGAATCCTTTATTGAAGACTCATGAATAGCATCACAGGCCAATGAATCTTCCAGTTTTATCAGAAGCAACACATAAGTAAGGACAGAGAACAAGTTGAGACCTTTTAAAGAGTTTATTTTCACATCTTGAAAGCAATTAGCAGAGTCAATGGTGAAAAGTTCCAGACAAAAGAAACCACAGAAATATCCTATGACCTCCTCAGGCAACAGCTGCAAACAAATCATACCTGAACAAACTGAAAATACAATGTAAATACAGCTGAGGAAGGTTTGAAATAAATTAAAACTTAACTATTTCCCCTTTAGAAATTACAGTACTGTAACAAAACTAGTGTACAGCCTGAGGCAGGAACAGTTGAGAATACCATTTTAAAGGTACAAATTCTCATGTTTCCTCCCTCAAAGCCCAGAGAATAGATAAGCAAAAGATGAGTTCTCCTTAAAGTGTAAATAAATATTGAAATAAAGACAAAACAAAATGTAATATAAAAAAAAAAATCTATGTTGAAATGAGAGCCATTCCATGGATCACTTGGTCTTAATTTTCAGTTCAAATGTCTTCACTTTATGAATAAAAACAAGTATTTTTGGGTCTGGCTGGCAGAATTCAAACAATTCTCAAACATTCTGCACATTAGTCTCCTCAGTGATAAATATTCCATTTCACAGCTTTCAATGGGATGCAGAGATAAAAATTAACCTAATTATTTTAAGATTGATCTTAGAACAAAATCAACTGCAACTTCACTACGCTAGCTCTGCAAAGTCAGTAAATTTAGAAGGATACAATAGTCACTGTAATTAATAAACATGATTAAAATTGCCTATGGCATAGATAGGACAAGTGCAGCTCTCCAAGTTCAGTCTCCATACTAACTGCTGCCACCATATGATGCTGCCCAATAAAGTTGATACAGTTCAATACAGGCTAGAACTCTGAGACTTATCAAAATTCCACATATTATCTGAGTGTCTTCTCTAATACACAGAATCAATCCCCTCCAGCCATCTGTAATTTCAGTCCAAATCTCACATTCTCAACCAAGAAACATGAACATTCTTCACAAAAACACTGCTTTAAAACAAACGCCTCCAACATTAAGCAATTTACAGTCCACATGTCAGAGAATAAACAACCAGTAAGTGAGGCTGGCAAAGGAAAAGACAACAAACTTGTTCTGTTGAACAAACTTGGAACACTCTCGTACAGCTTTTTTGAGGTTTACCAGTAGCAGCTACCACTGATTCAGAACCTTAGGTCTCTACTGCATTTGCAGGGCAACAGCATCTCAGAGTAGTAAAAGGTATAGAGATGTTTATACAAATCTTTCTATACCCACAGAATATTCTGCAATTAGCTTTCCCTAGTACTACTCCTAACAAATTTTTAAAAAAAACAAAGGGGAAAAAAAAAAAAAAGGCTTGAGCTGCCTTCTTGATGTGCTGAGGGAACAGGAAGACATGAGTCTCCAGGGAAATAACATAACCCAAATGGTCAGTGATCAGTACAAGAGAACATCAAGTACCAACAGCTATTACCTCCATATGTCACAGCACTGCAATTGCCACTGCAACACTTAATTTTCACAATGATGAAAAACTGAAGCTTCAGAAAAGGAATTAACAATTTTAAGTTCTGTATGTTAATGAGAAGAAAATCTGAGTTCAAAGTAAAGTGAAGGGGCAATTTGACTCAAACAGGGAAGACAAGTTTTAATTAAAAGATCTTCATTCAAAAAAACCAACATATATAGATGTATCAGTGACTAGAAGCTAAAGTCTGACATCCCTTGGCCATAAATGATCATATTACAGTTCCTCTTTTTTTTTGGTAAAGAAAGGCACAAGTTAGTCACAGGAACAACTTACCAAATAGCAGTGGTCCATTACTGGAACTTTTTCTGTGGGTATTTTGTTTTGATGTGCATGTGTTTGTTTCGTGGGTGGGGTTGGTGGTTTGGGTTTTTTTAGGAGGGTTGGGGGGCAGGGTTTAAAGAAGTCCTAGTCTAAATAAAAGGTTAATTTAAAAAAGGAAAAGGAACAGCATATGTTGTTCTGAAGGAAATTAAAAAAACGTTTATAACAAACCTTTCAAAATTAATCAAAATTATAAAATATTATATGAAGCCACCTAAGCATATTTACATTTCAACGACTACTTTCCCATTTTAGTAGATATTAAAAAACATCATTCGTGGAATATAAGCTTCAGTTTCATTTAAGTTGAGCTGTTTGCTCTCCCCTTTTAACAAAGTTGTTTTGGTAAGGTATAATCAAAGATTAATCATGTATTACGTATGAGGATTTATCTAACATTTCATCTGATTCTTTGGGTTTCTTTTGTAGATTATTTTTTATTATTGGATCGAAACAGACACAAATTCCTGTTATGTACTTTGAAAAGGGAGAAAATGCCACATCTGAAGAGGTTTTATACCAGTTGTTCCAGTGGGAGAATAAGTCAGTCACGATACCATGAATCACATCTGAAGTGACAGAAAAGAACACTTAATAGTAATATAAGATACCAACAGAAATATGCAATGAAACAGGTCTCTCCAGGAAAATACCAGTTCCTCTACTACAGATTTAAATTAACACTTCCTGCTTTATCAGCATATCACTCACACCAAAATCCTTGACATCATATAAAACCCTAAGCAATGCACTAGCTTTCTAGTCAGCCAGCCAGAACACAAGTTGGATGACTGATGTCTCTCTACTCACTCCATTGTCTTGAGACAGCTGATAGTTATTTCTCCTTAGCCCCACCCTTACTACTGCTGCAATAGCTTCCTCGTGGCATTCAACACCCAAATAAGTCAGTGGTCCTCAGAGCATTATCTTATTGTTCATTTGATGAATTACAGGGACTAGCTCCGAAGAGCAAATTCAGGTATCTCCAC